TGTTTATATGTATATGTATTTATGAATGATTGTGTATGTATACATATACATGTATGAATATGTGGGCATATATGTGAGAGGAGATCATGTGATCCGGAAGTGTACAAAAAGGAGCACCTGATTGTGATGAACTTTGTCTGATGAAGAGCCGGGTGGCTCGAAACGTTACATGCTCTGTGTCAGCCTTTTTAATTTAATAAATTTGTATTTTTGGAGCCTTGGTGTTGCCGCCTTTGATTGACATTTATTTCCACTTTTTGCGGTTTTGGCTGAGCACCCAATTTAGAGAGATGTGCGTGTTTTTGTACAGTTTTTTCATTACTTTTTTAGGCAGGACAATATTTGACTAATATAAAAACTACTTGAAAATACAGAATCAGAGTTTCAAATAAATCAAAACAGAGAAATTTAAGTTTAATGTTTTCCAAATTATGTTCACAACAATGCACAATTTCTGTAGGAGTTTTGATATATTAATGGTAGGTAATTCACAAATTATCTTCATGGATCATGATATATGCTAAATAATTTAATGTTGTTTGACAAAAAAGAAAAGAAATTTTTTGACCCATACAGTGTATTTGTTGGCTATTTTTGGCTATGGATATATACTTTTTTTATATTTATATATTATATTGATTTTTTTTATTGCAAAATTGTCCGCAAATTTCTGGGAATTACCACCACAAAATCAGTCATCTTTATCGCAAAAGAAAATCACAAAAAAAAAATAAATAAATAAAAATAGTGAAAAACTAGGGGATCTGTCTAATTAAACAAAACTGATCTAACTAACTGAGTCCTTCAGACTTGTTTGAAACCTGCAGTTTAATGTGTCGAAGCAAGGTTGGAATTAAACTCCGCAGGTCTGCGGCCCTCCAGGATGTGAATCTGAGACCCCTGGTCTAACAAAAAACACGCTTTAAATAATAGAATAGAATAAATGTTTAAAGTTAATATGATTAAATTAAAAGAATGTTTTTTTTTTACATAAAATGTATTGTTATGGAATTATACTACAATTTTAAAATATTATTTTGTAGCTTTACAATTTTACAATGCTAACATTTCTTATAATTATAAATGAATTGTTTGTAAAACCCATTATAACACAACAAACACAACTTTTTCACTTATTGATGGAAACTTGTTTCACACATATTTGAAGAGTTTCGACACAAAGACCTCTAAGTGTTTCTGAAATTGTCTTCTAAATGTAATTCCACTTCTATGGCAAAAATAGGTTCTTTGCATTGCCTTTCAAGTAAAATAACTAAACAAAAAATATAAGAGGCTGAGAACAATTCTAGGAGAAACTATAGGTTTTTTGGAATATCAAAGTATCTTTTTAATTTCATTTAAAAATACAAATTAAATCTGATATGAACACCACACAGTACGGACACAATCTTTGATTGATTCACGCATGTAAAATATTCATAATCTAATGTAACTACTAACTTTTTTTCTTTTTGGAGAGAATCGGTATCTTTGCAAAACATTACTGATTTGCTCAATGTCAAACCTTCAATTACAACAAAACTCTAAAAGCTCAACTATCACTAAAAATCATAAATCAGACAAAATGGTAAACTGTTTTTAAACTTTGCGTTAAATTTATTTTTGACTTTATTGATTTTCCTGGTATGTATCTGTACAGCACTTAACTATCTAACAAACGTCTTGTCGTCAATCCCAGTTGTAAGAACAACAAATAATAATTTGACTTCTAGTTGATCATTTGAAAAAGTGGCAGGAGGTTGAATTTACATCAAAGTTCCTGAAAGCAAAGAAGGTCAAAGTGCTCCAGGATTGGCCAGCCCGCTCACCAGACATGAACATTACTGAGCATGTCTTGAGTAAGATGGAGGAGGAGGCATTTAAGATGCATCCAAATAATCTTGATGAACTCTGGGAGTCCTGAAAGAGCGATTTCTTTGCCATTCCAGATGACTTTATTAATACGTTATTTGAGAATCATTGCTGAGATGTATGGATCCAAGCTCATGGGAGTCATACACAATATTAACTCTTTTTCCACTGCACCATAACTTTATATTTTATACTGGACAATATTTTTGTTAAGTGACAGGACTTCTGTCTAAGCAAAGTCAGACCGTACCCTCCTAATTAAATAATTCATTATCAAGGCATGATCATATTTTATTTTGGTAAAAAAAAACGTAATCTAGAGGACTTCGCCTCTCGTATGAGCCACTTTTGATACCAGATGATCAACTAGAAGTCAATTTATTATTTGTTGTTCCTAAAACTTGTAATTAAAGTCTTAAAGTAATGGTTGCTGCATTATATGAATCTTAGGTGACAAGACTTTTGTCAGGTAGTTTATAATCAGCTGTAGCTGTGTTTATCTGTGCTTAAATACACATTAAATGAAAGTAAATGAGTGTTTACAGCAAAACTCAGATTTCTTACTTCCCATTAAATCATCTTATTGTCAAGTCTTTCATGTGCCTAACTTTTTGCAATTGCATTCTGCGCTTAAATCAAAGAACGTCTAAACGATTTTCGATCTAAGCCTGACCAGACGCAATATATTTAATGCATTTTACCTCCTTAACTTGCCAGATTGTCATGGTGCGCTGGAGTTGTCAGAGCCTGCAAGATGGACAGTGCTTTTACCATCCAGACCAAGGATAAACTATGACCCCAAACTCAAACACATGATCTCTTTTCACTTGCGCATTCTTTGTTTAAAAGATTAAATACAGGCCGGTCCATGTGTGTGGTGAAATACCAGAATCAAAGGGACTGTGAATAGACTGAAATGTAAAAGCGTGGTGGAATAGCATTGAGAAACATATATGCGGGTTGGCTGCCAGGAGCACGAGTATTTCTTGGGGCGATTTGCAGAGGTTATGTGCGAAATTCACTCAGGAACAAGGCTGTGCGCTTCAATTCAAGGAAAAAGCAATACGAGCGCCTGTTTACGCGCCACAAATGCATGTTCATACATTCTAAACCTGCAGCTTTACATATGAGGTCAGACGCACTTGTCAATAATGATACGAGCCGAATCACTCGCAGATGCTTGATCTTCCTGTTTGTTTCATGCGACATATAAATGTAATGTGTTATTAACTATAAATTGCATGAATGGAAAACAAAGAAAGGCTAATAAGAGGGCTTGGAAATAGTAGTATGTCAAAATTCGATGCATCATGATGAAAACCAGAAATATGAAACAGCACCAAATATGTGAAAGACAAGGAAGTGTACACTATAAAAAGTGATTGGTTGACTTTACTTTTTATTTAAAAAGTGAGTAAACCTTCTTTTAAAATTATTAAGTAGATGAATTATGAGATTATAGACAGTAAAGTCAATTTAACGGTTCTATGTTAAGACAAGTTTACTGACTTTTAAAGTAAACATAACTTGTCACTTTTAAGGTAACAGGTTTACTTTTAAAAGTAAAGTAACTAAGAAAGAAAGAAAGAAAGAAAGAAAGAAAGAAAGAAAGAAAGAAAGAAAGAAGAACAAAGAACAAAGAAAAAACGAAAATGAAAAAACGAAAAAAAAGAAAAAGAAAGAAAAAGAAAGAAAAGAAAAAATAACAAAATAAGAAAAAGAAAAAGAAAGAAAAGAAAGATAAAAAGAAAGAAGAAAAAGAATGAAAAAGAAAAAAGAAAACAAGAATTTCAAAAAGGAGAAAGAAGAACAAGAAAAAGAAAGAAAAAGAAAGAAAAGAAAAATAACGAAATAAGAAAAAGGAAAGAAGAAAAGAAAGAGAAAGAAAAATAATGAAAAATAAAAAAGAAAGAAAACTAAATGAAAAAAAGGAGAAAGAAGAACACTAAAAAGAAAGAAAGAAAGAAAGAAAGAAAGAAAGAAAAAAAGAAAAAGAAGAAAGAAAAAGAAGAAAAAGAAAAAAGGGAAAAAGAAACAATAAAAGAAAAAGAAAAAAGAAAGAAAAAAAGAAAAAAGAAAAGTAAAAAGAAAGAAAACGACAAAAAGAAAGAAGAAAAAAAAAATGAAAAAAGAAGGAAAAAGAAAGAAAGAAAGAAAGAAAGAAAGAAAGAAAGAAAGAAAGAAAGAAAGAAAGAAAAAGAAAGCAGGAAAGAAAAATAAAAAAGAATGAAAAATGAAAAAGAAAGAAAACAAGAATAAAAATAAAGAAGAAAGAGAAGAAAGAAAAACAAGAAAAAGAAAGAAAAAGTGAAAAGAAAGAGAGAACCCTTTAAAATGTATGATTTATATAAACATGTTTTATTTGACAATTTTTCAATTGTGAGTTTGTGTTGGCAGTAAATTGCTTGCTATTTTGTAAGTAAATAGAAGGAAACACTTTTGAGTGACTTATGGTCACTTCAAATTAAAATACAACTCTTGCTATTAACGAACCATTCACTAAGACTTAAGGCTCAATTAACTCTTAATTTCTGCTTATTAATAATTAGTAGGCTAGCAATTGGGTTTAGGTATTGGGTCGGATTAGAGATGTTGTATAAGATCATGCTTTAGCTGTACACTAATAAAACGTTAAACTAGAGTTTCTTTCTTTTTTAAGTTGACTCAACACATAAGAAAAACAGTGGATAATAAAAATACTACTGGAACCAGAACTGCTGAAAAAGCGAATGGCCATTGATGTTTCAGAATAGTGAGATAGTCAATGGTTAGTTTGGGACTTAAATTTGTTTTGGTGCATCGTTCTCTGCGTGTATCAACATCCAAAAGCGCCCACATACACATAATGAGAGTAAGAATGAGCATAAATATGAAGCACATATACACAAACGAAAAAATGGAGGTGGGCATAAAGATAAGGAGAGAGAGAGAGATACTAGACACTGTAAAAAGCAATTAGTTACTTTACAGTGTAGATGTTAAACATCACCAATGTCAAACAAGACACAAATGCAAAAACATAAGACAAGTGTGTCACCTCAATCAACCTTAAAACCTCTCCCTATGTCATGAAAGTGCTGTGAGAGAGATCAGATTTGAGGAATGTGGGTGGAGAAATGCTTTGGTACCTTTGGCTGCAGGTTTGGATGGAGCAGCACGTAACCGTTGGGATCAATTGCGAAATAGTATCCATTAGGACCGATCTGAAATAAACAAACAAAAAGGAGAACAGTGAATGAGACCACCGTCAAACCCAAATCCCTGCTCAGACCAAATGGGCCTGGGTTTTCAGCGAAGCGGTGGTTAATCCCTGACTAGCGGGTTACTGTCTACCATCCCAGGAGGACGCAGAACCCGGCTGTCAATCAACCCCGAGCACTTAGCGTTAATCAAATGTGTCGGTTCATCTGGAAACATTCCTCCGAGCTTAACAGAAAATCACAACCATTTACAAATCAAATGTAAGTACAAACAGATGTAATGTACAAGGGCTTACGTCCTCTTAAGAGTGATCTTACTGTAAGAAGGCGAAACCGCAAGACGGCAGACCGCAGAACAATAGTGCATTTATCTTATGCGTGCCGTGTTATTCTTATTACGAGACTCAAAGAGTCTGCACAGAAAACATCTAACACATGAGTTTAGCTTTGTTCCCTTATAAACTGAATTATGTGGCGTTCAAGGAATAGATGAAAACTTGGTCGCCGTTTACGCACCCCCGCGTCATCCCAAAAGCAGATTTCCTTTCTTCTGTATTTTTTTTTCATGGTGTGAAAGTGAATGGAGCTATCAAGCCGAACACATGTAGTGTTAAAGTACCATACAATTAGTCTATGTGACTACACAAGTCGATATATAAGCTTTTGAAGCCATTCAATGTGCGCTGTCGTCTATGACATCAAACTGGTGCGACACATCTGACACTTTGTGTTTTATTCGACACTACTGTTCAAAAGATTGTGGTTGGGCAGATTTTTAAATGCTTTTTCAAAGAAGTCACTTATGTTCACACAAAGGCTGCGTTTATTTGACCAATAAGATATTAAGAACTGTGAAATGTTAGTACGATTCAAAAATAATTGGTTTCTATTTTAAGATATTTAAAATGTAATTTAGCCCTGTGACTCAAAGCTGATATATTTTGTGTATATACACAGTGTCTCAAACAAATTTAGCAAAATTAATTATGTCAGAATTTTGTCAAAATAACCCCAGCTTAAATTATATTTTGAAATGGTAAATAAAATTCCACCTCGCCTGATTCATTTCACCGCATTAGCTTCTTCTTGGCTCAGTACACTGAAAAGCCTAATAGGTTGACTGAACTAAAGTTTATTCGCCTTGCCGGTTTTGTAGACTATCCTTAAATTGTTCAGTTCACCAAACTTAGTGCTAAAACAAAAAATAAGTATCCATTTATTCACATTATTATGAATAATTATACCTGAAGCCATTTGTTTTCTGATTTTTAAAAAAAGACCTTGCACTTAAAAGGTTGCACATATTAGAATTTTACAGTCAAGACTACATTTGTGAAAATGTTTATGCATTTTCATGGTACATAAGTTAAATTAACTCATATTTTTAAGTGATAGGACCAAAATGCTGAATTTTAAGTTATGTTCAGTCAACTTTACTTAATGAAAGTCAACTTTAGGGTTTACAGTGTACCATGTCTTTCTGTCCATGACAGGGGTGATATTTTCCACAGTACAGGCTGTGCATGGATGACCACTCCCCACCACACGACATCCATCAATTTTCGCCAACAAGTAATCCAATCTAATCCAATCCAATCCAATCCAATCCAATCCAATCCAATCCAATCCAATCCCTTCTGTCAAGTTTTTAGTCAGAAATTCAAGAAGAAAATATGAAGCGCTGTAGCCTTTCAGTTCTCGTAAACCTTTGATCAAACTCTTATCTTTTTTTTTAAAACACCATTTTAATTTAAGCCTTACGCATATAAAAAATAGCTTGAATATAAAAATAAATATAAAAACTGTTGAAGTAAGAATTATTAGCCCTCATTTTGAGTTTTTATTTTTAATATTTACCAAATGATGAGCAAAGAAATTTTCACAGTATGTCTGAAAATATTTTTTCTTCTGGAGAAAGTCTTGTTTGTTTTATTTCAGCTAAAATAAAACCAGTTATTAATTTTTTTAAAAACCATTTTAAGGACAAAATTATTAGCCTCTTTAGGCGATATATTTTTTCGATAGTCTACAGAACAAACCATCATTATACAATAACTTCGCTTTTTTACCCTAACCTGCCCAGTTAACCTAATTAACCTAGTTAAGGCTTTAAATGTCAGTTTAAGCTGTATAGAAGTGTCTTGAAAAATATCAAGTAAAATATTATTTACTGTCAATATGGGAAAGATAAAATAAATCAGTTATTAGAAATAGTTTGTTAAAACTATTATGCTTAGAAATGTGCTGAAAAAAAATCTTCTCTCCATTAAACAGAAATTGAAAAAAAAAAAAAAAAAAAAAAACGGGGCTAATTTTTCAGAGGGGCTAATAATTTTGACATTAACTGTATATAAAGCTAATATAACTAAATATTTATTTTTTCGTGATTCTTTGAGGATAAAAAGCAGTATTTAAAATGATATTTCTGTGGTAAATAAAATAAAAAAAATATATGTAAATGAACAAACTGAAACTGATGACATTTTAGAATACTTTTCTGTATTGTTTTTTTTTTCACATTTACATATGTTAAATGAAAATACACCTATTTAACCTTTTTTACAATATGTAAAATAAGTCTCTGATGTCTCTAGAGTTTATATGTGAAGAACTCAGAACATCAAAACAAATATTTTACGAAAATAACTGAAACTCCCTTTTAAGCTGTGATCCTAATTGTGCCATTTTGTTGACTGTTGCTTTAAATTCAAATGAGATGGGGCTCTTCTCAAAACAGGGCGGAGCAACAAACACCAATGTGTCAGATTTAAAACTCTAATGGGAAATGGCTGTTTCTCAATCAGGACTGTGTATGAGTGAGAAACTAATGGGTGGGGCTTTCTCCTTCCAAAGACATGTAAATCAAAGGGAGAATGTCAATCAAAGTTTCTGTAGACTGTTTTTATGAAGTTTTATTATAAAAATATATATATATATATATATAATTTATTTATTAATTTTTTTTATGCTTACAGGCTGGCTATATAATCACAGACTGTTACCACATAACAGTGTTTAAACCCCATTTTTGCATAATATTTCCCATTTAATAACTTTTGTCCCATATAAAACAGGGAAATTTGGGCCTTGAATGACTTGAGGGTGAATAAACAAAGACAACTCACCGTGAAGCGAGGGGTCAGTCTTTTGATATCATCGAGAGACACATCCACTCCCATCACTCCTAAAATCAACTGGTTCTAATGTTAAAAAGAGATTAAAAAAAAGAGATTAAAAACATGACATTTACAGACATAAGGCAATAACCAAGAAATCTGTATCTAAATTTCACAACAACATGCAAACTGTTGCAACTGTGCAAAACAACTTGTACGAAATTGTGTAGAGAATCACGTCTAAAAAACCTCAGCGCGCGTCATCTGTACTGGAAATGGATATATTAAGTCTTATCAAAAAACCAGTGACGCAGTCGGTGAGCGGAAAATAATGACAACTTTCAAAGGGTCATTCAGTTCAGTTGATCAACAACATACAAATTCTCAATGACCTGCCAAACTGGAAAAGTTGAGGATAAGATATTTATTTTCCATATCTGTTTCTATCGTAGTCTTCCTGCGAAGTTCGCTGTCCGCATGGTTAGCACATTAAAGAGATAATGAGGTTTACATGTTTGCGTCAGTAGTAGTTTTATCCCCATTAAACGTGACAAAAATAGCAATTTTTTTCCAAGAATCTGGCTATGAATAGAGTATTGGGTCTGTTAATGACACATCTGGTGTTCTGCTCTGTCTTCATTCATGCTTTATTCCTGCTTCTGACGTTTGCGGCACAGCCTGACACACTGTTCTCGATTTGTTATATAGATTCAAAGGAAGAACAGTTTATAAACAGATCCTTTTTTTCACAACCCAAATTTTACAGATAAAGATACAGAAGCTACCCTGTTTAACACTGGAACTACCAGATTACTACAATTACTTGAATGAATATAGGAGGTAATTCTGACAAGAGCTGCATAATAATGGGAAAAGCAGACATTGCCATGTTTTATTTTTCTGCGATTATATACTGCGATCAGGGGCGATTTTAGGAATTTCATTTTAAGGTGGCTCAGCTCCTTATAAGGTTAAAATAGATGCATACTGTATATAAAGCCTAATATTACATTTATATGTATTAATTTATTAGTAATACTCTTAAAAATGTTTGTTTGATATGGGTTGTATGCTAGTATTGCACTGTATTACAAAGACAAGCACAGCCATTTGAGTTCTGAATAAGCCAAATAAACTCAACCCACCTTTTTACTGTAGTAAAAACAACTTTCTATATTCGAGTGCATCATTTGTTTCCTATTAAATAAGTAAACTGACACTTTTCTAATCAAATGACACACATATCAACATATATTTTAAAACTTACAGGCTACTTCACATATTTCATGATAATAAATAAGTATTTTTTAATACTAGACAACACTTGATGTTTCTATCTCTGTCAGTGACTCAGTGACAGTTATAAGGTGTACATTCTCTAAGTGCTTCTGTCACTGTGTTTTATCCTTTCTGTGCAAGACTGCATGGTATAGTTAATGCCACATGAACTGTAAAGTGTTTTATATTGGTAGCTCATTTTGAAATAAAATTAGCGAAATGTTCGTTAGGAGTTACATTTTTCACTGGAGGAATCCTGTTATTGGGATACAGGTGATACAAGGTTATCTATATCAAAGAACTGCAGATATGCAGATATTATAACAATTTATCAATAAACACAAACCATGTTCTCTGGCTGTCTTTGGCTGTGGTTAGCTGATCTGATAAAAAAAACAAAGGAGGGGGAGGAGCCAAGTTTTGCCGCTGTTTTCTAATCAAATTTAAAGGACACTGAGGCCATATTTTAGTGTACAGTTTATGAGCTACTCGCTAAAGTTTTAGGGGGGCTTAGTAGAAATATAGCTACAGCCCCCCTATAGCCTAGCAATGCCCATGACTGCAATATTGAGCATAATTTTACTAAATGCCTCTATTTGGAAAGAATTTGTCATTTTAGATTGATTGAGATCATTTTGTAGGCCTGTACAGTACATCTGCATCAAATATCATAACCCAATCACAGCATTGCTAAATACAGTAGCATAGATACAACCGGAAATTAACAGTGCTTTACAGCTTTCTGAGAGTCTAGAAGTATTCAGGTACATAATCAGAATAATCAAATGTAAAATATAACACTGTTTAGACTTCATTAATCTTTCTTTAAGTTATAAACATTATAAACTGTTGTGCCCGAATGCTTAAAACTGGCTTGGAAGGTGACGCATTCAAAGACCTTCAAAATATATGCAAATGATCAAATGTTTGGTCAATTTGTGGAGTCACAATAAATCATGCTTCTTTTTTTTTTTTTTTACTCTGGCCCCTGGTCAGCTATAATCCTGACTCCACATTTCAGATTCTGCAATGTGTCTATTGCAAATGATCACAATGCAATACAGATGCAAAACAATTCTGATCATCGCAAATTGAATTTTTGTCACATGATTTTACATCCAAAGCTTTAACTGAGAATTAAAATTAAGCTTTGAATGTCTGTTGTTACATTTTATGAAGTCATTCTCCTAAAATACATTGCTTATTATTGTGTACAGGTACTAGACTGAAGGAGCATAACTTTGTATGGCAAGCAAGAGAACAACGTTTTTGCTCAGCAGCAAAATTGTTGTTGTTAAATATTTAAAGTACATTCATTCATTTTCTTTTCAGCTTAGTCCCTTTATTAATCAGAGGTCGCCACAGCGGAATGAACCGCCAACTTTTCCAGCATATTTTTTATGCAGCGATTGCTCTCCCAGCCGCAACACCCATACACTCTTGCATTCACACACATACACTACGGCCAATTTAGCTTAATCAATTCACCTATAGCGCATGTCTTTGAACTGTGGGGGAAACTGGAGAACCCGGAAGGGTGCCAGGCCTCGAACCAGCAACCTTCTTGCTGTGAGGTGATTGTGCTACCCACTGTGCCAGAGTGACGCCATCTGCGTCTATTGTGAAGTGAATTTCACATGCAAATTTGATGAGCAAATGAAGTAAACTTAAATTGTTGACACGTCTTTTTACGACGAATATCGTCATTTATTCGCCAAAGACACGTCTGGTGTGAATACAGCATGAAGATAAAACATTCTTAAAATCAAAGATTTGGAGAGACCAGCTTTACTATATATGGCTGAAAGGTTCTTACTGAACAACCTGCTGTCAGTCATTAAAAATGGCTCACCCTCTTTCAAACCCAAGGAAACCTGGTACATTCAGCTGCCATTTAAATAGTGTTTGTCGGGTAATTAAAGGTACACTGAATGAATTTTGCTAAATAATGCTGATATTAGAAAGCTCCACTTTCCTGGCTAAATTCTCTTCATCTGCCCTTACTCACTATGGCCTCCCAATCATCCCCATCCACCAAATTGGCTCTAAACACTGTCTCTCCACTTCACCAATAGCTAGTGTGTGGTGAGCGCACTGGCGCCGTTGTCCTGTGACTGCCATTGCATCATCCAAGTGGATGCTGCTCACTGATGGCAGTGTAGAGAAACCCACCCCTCATGATTGTGAAGTGCTTTGAGTGTATGGCCATACATGCTAAATGCACTTTATAAATACACATTACATTACACAATCCTTATAAGACAAGCCCGTTACAGCTGATTGGCTGCAAGTGTGGGCTCAATCCAACACTATGCGCTTGTTAAGTCTGATGTTATGTGATGCAGATTCCAGGTCCAATCGCTCTATCAGACTATGGTAGTAATAAAAGTTCACAGAATACTTTCGAATGATCACTGCAATTTATCCATGCCTACTGTAATATCAGATGGCCAGAAATAATTTTTGTTTAAGTAAATTGTTAAAATATTGATGTCTGTGATACAGTATGCCCAGAGATTGCAGTACACACCATGGTTTTGTAAAAGATTCACTTTAATGTGTCATAAGACTAAAAAGTATAGGTGGGCATAGATTAATTTTTTTTAATCTAGATTTTTCTAGAATAATCTCGGATTTAATCTAGATTAAAAAGGGCTCATTTGAATTCTGCTGAAGGCATTCAGAATATTTGTGCTACCCAAATAATAAGTCTTTGAGATCTGGTTTCTCAAGCCAGGTGGCGCATTAGACCAGGGGCTCATCTCCTGTTTCCAAAATGCATCACAAACTGCTTGAGAAACAGTTCTACTATGATAACTGGTGATGAAAATATATGATATTCAAAAAGATGTACTTGTGTTTATTCAGTTAAACATGAATTTTGAACTGTAGGCCTATATAAGCTCCAAACAGCGATTTTTGATCACCTTAATCTGACTAAAGTCACAACTAAACTAGACAAAAATGGAATTAAGACGTGGAGTATGCATATATTAGTGGCATTACTGAAGCAAACACCGCAATCAAACTATTACCGTCAAGTTGGATTTTTCGCCATACAGTATTTTCCAAAAAGACACACACACACACACACATATAGCAAAATGCGGACGTTTTTTTCCTTTCCATTCGCCGTGCAACATTAAATTCCATAACGCTCTCATCAGTCGTTACTCCTTATTTGTGTCTAATACCCCAGTTTGTCACGACGACATGAATGAAATGTTCATGAGTTAAAGTGAAACTGTCGAACTGCAGTTTAAGTCAGGCATCTTGCTGATTTGATTCAGAAGGGCACTTTTTTGTCAGACGGCTCACCGGTCAGGTATACATCCGCACTAAAATATCAAGGTGAAATTTATTATAGCTTGCGTATAATAGACCCAGCTCCCAACCCAACTTTGATAATAGATTAACGGCAATATTTTTTTTTATCACGTGATAAGACTTTAACACCGATAACGGCCCACCACTACTATAAAGTTTTCATAAATAATTATTTTCTCAATTCAAACAAGTAGCAGCTTGGACCAGGAAACACAATTTTACAAGCAGATAGATTGAATTATTGCTTAGTGCACCCACGATATTCACCACTACAGTAGGTGCAGAAGAGGACCTGAAAGTGTTCCCTTAATTTGATCAGTGTTCTTTTTCAAATGTCTGATTTATTTGTTATATACTGTGCTTCAGAACTCATTAAATAAGTTTTAAAAGCTGCTCTTTTACTCATGTTAGGACATCTTCAAACAGGATTCAAGCAGTGACCTCTAAACTTTACTCTGTTCTCTAATTTTGATTTTGAAAGTATATATAAACTTAAAATCCTGTCCAGTTTGGTCACTCATTTTACTCTGAAGCAAATATAATATTTTGCATTCATTAGGTTCTCTTTTAAGTTCAAAACAATAAGAACTAATAATAATAATAAACAATTAGTCAGTTTTTTCTCTTCGCTTTTGTCAATTGGTGAAGTTTGTTCCGTGCCACTGTCACCACTGGCTTGCTTGTTTTGGGACTTGTGGAGCTGCACATGGTTAGATTTGCTCTTCTGTGTTTTGTCTTTCAGCAGTGACATTTATTTTAGACTGAACTGAACTAAACTCAACTCAACTCAACTTCACCTGTGAAAACTGGACAGAAGTAGTTTCAATTTACACTAGAACTTCATCTATGTTAGGGTGTTTTGAGACAGTCTACATTGTAAAAGCACTATGTAGATAAAGATGAATTGAAATGAGTTAGTGAGTGTTTTTAATTCAGCCGAATGCAGGACTGACCTGGCTCCGGGATCTGGCCTCTGTGGATTTGGTCTTGTTGAACACTGGCAGTGTACCTGTAATGACCAGGCCCAGCTCCTGAGGTCAGAAAGAACACAGAAAACAACCAAACATGTGATTTCTAATAACCTCCACAGATTATATCATAATGTTGGCTGAAAAAGGCTGTACCAGAGCGTCCAGGTAAACATTGGTCCATTGCACTTGTTTGGCATCTGCAAGGACCATCGGCCTGCCCAAAACATCTAGATATTCCTAAACAACAGTGAACACAATCAAATGTAGGTCATCCTTCACAGTTTCCTAAACAAGAGCAAACAAACCACATCTGAAACACTTACAAACCTGTGTGTTTATGCGGATGGCTCCAATGGAAGGGATTTCGTAGAAGTATCCTTGAAAACATTTAAGATTTGTTATTTGTTGTTGTGTGTGTGTGTGTGTGTGTGTGTGTGTGTGTGTGTGTGTGTGTGTTTAGCAGCAATCCAGTACTAGATCTACTAAAGCGGCTGTAGGATAAGAAGTTTACTTCTGAGCTTTTGCCACTAGGAGGTGAACACAGATTGAGCAAATGAAACGTACCTTTATTTTGACAGGCCATCCACTTTATTGGCCCAGTGTCATAGTTGTGTTGACCCACCGAGAATGTAAACACACGCACCTGCAATTAAAGGATACAATCTGATAAATGCTGGATAATCATTGTCCCACACGGATTTCTGCAGATTTCCCCAGATTTTTAGCCTATCATTGAGTCTATTTATTTACTTGGGTAAATGTGTGTAAGTTTATATTTATTCAGTTTTTCAATTAATTTCAGAAATATTATTGACTAATATGAAAGTGAAATGTAGAAATATTATATGAGAGTTTTGCTTTGTTTACCAAACAAGTGGATTTAATTGGATTTGCTTTGTAAACATTAAATAAACGTTTAAAAATTATTATTTTTCATGTTATGTATTAAGTTTTTAGTCACGATACTACCAAAATAATTCCGCATAAATCTGCAGATTTTTTACAAAATTCTCAGCAGAAATAGCAAAAAATTTCTGCAGATTCTTTCTGGCCCTAGTCATAACCCAACAGAGATTTTTTTTTTATTCCAATTCAACCTAAATGACAATTTTTAACCCAAAAGTTTAATTTAATCATATTTGACCCAATGTTGAGTTATTGCAACAAAGAATTTACACATTTAGGGTATTGTTAATATTAAACGCCAATAAGATCAAAAACAAAATAAATGTAAAATAAATGTACAATAAAATTATAAATAATAATAATATTATTATTATTAATAATAATAATAATAATAAAACAATTAATTGCATTATTATTAAATTAACTGATTGATTTTTATAATTTGAAAATATCTGAACTAAACTGACATAAACCAAAATTAAACCCTATATGAAACCAAATTGGCGTAAACGGACAAAAATCATCTTTAAAATAGAATGAATATATTATTGGATATATACACTAATATTTATTACAAAAATACAATGTATATATCATACCTGCCTATTGTTTATGTGTTTATTAATCCAGGAATAAATAAATAAATATTTAATTTCATTTTTTAATTTGAAGTGAATTATAGCTAAGATGTATATTTGTGACCTCAAAATGTTGTTAATCATATATTATTGAAATTGTTGCCATAAATACACAGAAACCAACATTAACTTAAAACGAGCACTGCATATATGGCAAGCCGTTTTGACATTTAATTTATAACTCATACTAGTATCTATTTTTATGTTACTAGTGCTTATTTTTTAGATAATAGTATCTTTTCCATTGAGTATTACTTATTCATTAGATACTAGTGCCTATTCTTTAGATGCTAGTGCTCTTTTAAAACATTCCAGTGCTTACTCATAAAACTAGTTTTTTTTTTGTTTTTTTTTAGATACTAGTACTCATTGATTAGTTACTAGTACCTATTAAATAGATACTAGGACTTATGCATTAGATACTAGTACTTATTCATTAGATACTAATTCTTATTAAATAGATACTAGTTCTTATTTAATAGATGCTACTACTATTTTTATGTACTAGCAGTTAATCATTAGATACTAGTATCTATTAATTACATACTATGTCCTAATTAATAGATAATAGTACTCTAAACATTAGATACTAGTACCTATTTAATAGATATAGCGCTTATTAATTAAATATGAGTACTTGCTAAATAGATACTTATGAAATAGATACAACTTATATAAAAGATATTAGTACACTTTTATTAAACACAAGCACTTGTTTAAAATGTTACTAGTATTTTTGTTTTACGTTTTCATTTGTACAAGTCACAATAAGACGAGTAAAAAAGCAGACCTGACTAGTAAAATAAGAATTGTTACTAGTAATAATTATAAAAGATACTAGTATCTAATAAATAAATACTACCAATGAATAACTATTAGTATCTAGTTAATAGTTACTAGTATCTAATGAATTAGTACCAGTTTATATTTAATAAGTATTAGCATCTAATAAAAAGATACTACTATCTTATGAATAAGTACTAGTACCTAACGAATAAGTATTAGTATCTAATACATAAGTACTAGCATCTGTTAATTAGGTAATATTTACAAGTACATAATGAATAACTACATACATATTATCATGTACTAGTTCCAGCTGGAATACATACTAGTCAAAACTCAATAGTTGACATCTCAATGACAGATCCCAATGGACAAATTAAAAACTTGTTACTAATAACAACAGAATAGTTACTGGTCACTATTGGAATAAGGACTAGTATGTAATAAATAAAAATTAGTATCTATTTAATGAATACTAATGAATAAGTAGTACCTATTAAATAATTAATAAGTACTAGTGTCTACATAAGTAATAGCATCTATTTGATAGGTACTAGTATCTAATGAATGAGTACTAGTAATAAATAAGAACTAGTATATAATGAAAAAGTACTAGTATTTAATACATAAGTACTAGTATATACTGAATAAGTACTAGTATCTATTTTATATGTACTAGCATCTAACAAATGAGTACTTAATGGAAAAGATACCTATATCTAAAAAAATAAGTATAAGTAACATGAAAATAGACACTAGAACAGGGTATAGATTAAACATCAACATGGCTTGCTATAATGCATTTGCTACATGATCCTACAAGAAGTAATCCTTAAGATGTTCTTAAAAATACTTGTTCACTGTTAGTTTGTTTTGTTCATATGTAAGCGAGTATACCTACTGTAGCTTAGTTAATGCTTACTATTAACTGTTTTACCATCACTCTAAACATAAAAACACAGAATACATAAACTCATATAGATTTAGAATAAGCACAAAGTGAGTAAATTAAGTTTTCATATTAGTGTGAACTCAGCCTTTAACAATAGCTAAGACAAAAAAATATGGAAGTACTAGAGGATTTCTTATTGTTAGTAAACATCAAACCATGTTTCAACATATTAGATGTTTCATAGCGAACTTGACACACACCTTCCTGTCAATGTTGTGTCTGCTGAAGATCTCCTCCGCTCTCTCCTCTCCTCCATCAGTAAACAACATTATGATCTTGTTGCAGTTTGCTCTGGAAATGTTTGGCTTAAATACACACAAATGCATATGCAGTTACACATAATGAACGGCAGAGGTCAGTATAACACAACAAAACTACTGATAAAATCGAGCAAGCTCTTAATGAATAAATATCGCTAAAAGGAGATTTTAGTGTTTCAGTCTTAGAGGAGATTAGCACCTTAACTGTGAATTAGGGACATAATTATCCCCCTAAGTCTGTTTATGATCTAATATACAACTTACTATACAGTACAATAACCTAATGGTTATCCGGTCAGACATTTTTTCCAACGTGACTGACAGTCGCGCTATTACTGTAGCCTGTTTTTTTTTTATTTGGCCTTTCATGTATGTTATATCCTGTCAGTCAAACCATCTTTATAATGAATTAAACCACTAACACTGGTTTACATTTTTAAATACTATTCTCCATTCAAATTTCGTTTCATTCTCTGGGTCTTTATTTATTTATTAATTTTTTTTTTTTTTTTTTTGGAAATAACAAATAACTTTCCATCATGCCTAGTACTCTCCAGCCTTAAAGACACAGGTGTAATCTAAATGTACTCATTATAATCACTATAAAGTGGTTCCAAACCTTTTCTGAGTTTCCCTTTTTTTCTGTTGAACACCAAAGAAGGTATTTTGAAAAAAGCTGGAAACCAGTAAGTATTCACATCCATAAAAAGGGAAAGCACATGCAAGTTAATGGCTACCAGTTTTAAGATTTTTAGAACTTTTGTGTTCAAGAGAAGAAAGGAAGTCAAAAGGTTTGGAACAAGTAAAAGTTGAGAAGATGACCAAATTTTACAGTTTTGGATGAACTATCCCAAAAGATTGATAAAATAAAAGTGACACCTTACTGTTCATATACAGATGAAGTCAGAATTATAGGCCCCCTTGATTTATTAGCTCCCTTGTTTATTTTTCGCCCAATTTCTGTTTAACAGAGAAGATTTTTTTAACATATTTCTAAACATTATAGTTTTAATAATTCATCTCTAATAACTGATTTCTTTTATCTTTGTCATGATGACAGTAAATAATAAATATATATTTTCAAGACAATTCTATACAACTTAAAATGACATATACAGGCCAAATTAGGTTAATTATGTTAACTGGGCAAGTTGTTGTATAACAATTCTTTGTTTTATCGATTATTGAAAAAAAAAATCTTAAAGGGGCTAATAATTTATAATTATTATTAACTTTTATTTTAGCCGAAATAAAACAAATAAGACTTTCTCCAGAAGAAAAAATATTATTAGACATACTGTGAAAATTTCCTTGTTCTGTTAAACGTCATTTGGGAAATATTTAAAAAAGAAAAAGAAATAAAAAA